TCGGAGATATTCACTAGGAAATCTTTCCATTCAAGAACAGAAATACCGAAAGATTTGCACGTACTTAACGGTGTTCTTTCATAGATTCCAATTGCTTGATGGAAACGTTCTCGTAGATCATCAAAGACTTGATTACTACTTGGATGACGTGTCGATTGTCCATTGAATAAAGTCACATCATAAGAAATCGAGATTGATAATAAACTATGGAGAAGAAATTCTAATGAAGTTTTTTCTCCAATGTGATAACTGTTCACTTACACTGCAATTCGATTTCGAACGTCGGAAGATGAATGATCGACTGCTTCCATAGCGAAAGAACAATTACAAGATCTAACCAATGGGAGGATGATCGATGATGTAGATGTCGTTTGAATATCTGGACAAGCGAATGTTGATTGTGTAATGGACGAACTAGTGGCAGTAGTCTCACTTGTTCTACTAGTTGCTCTATCTTCATCATTGTTGTTGTTCTTTATTTTTCGTTGATTCGATTGTGTTGTTAATGAACATATAGTTCGTTGGATTTTTCCGACTCAACAGCTACTGGATTATCTCGAAGCAAACAATATTTGGATCGCCTTCGAACCATCGTGACAATTTGGAATCTGCTTATTGGAATGTTAGGTAATAAACAAACAAAAAGATACAGATGGATATCAGAAGAAAGAACGACTTCTCTTTCGAATTGTATTGTCACCAATCAAATACAGATAAGTGTTAGATATGTGCAATACAACAAGTGATTAGACACAAAGAGATTTATTCATCATGTAATGATACACTAATACAGCTGAACTAATTCAATTGAGTCATCACACTTCGTTCATCGATGTTGGCGAAATTGGGAATTGGCGACAAGATTCTATCCCGAATATGCTTCCGAACAGTCAAAATTCTCCACGAAAAGCAAAAAACAAAAACGAATTGCCTTCTAACGAACTTTTTCTTGTGATGCACGATCTTCTTGACGAATTCCAACATGATCTCTGATTGCTTTGCCTCAAGAATGATGACCAGCAAAAAA